TGTCCCAGTAAAAGACATCTTTAATATATTTTGAAATATGTTTAAATGTTTTAAATATAGTAGGCAGAATCAATATACTGAGGCTGTGTCCTATAAACTATTCCATGTTAAAGTACAAAACAGCATGGCCTAGAGCAGCATCTATTACATTAGAATGTGCAGACGAACCACCTAGTGATCTCATTAAAGCACAGATTCTGTGATTCAGAAGATCTGAGGTAGAGCCAGAGGTCCCACGTTTCTAGCTGGGTCCCAGATAAGGTCTATCGTCTGGTCCTCAGACCACGCTTTGAGGAGACAGGACCTAAACGATCTTCTCTCCATGCATGACTGAGAAGTCAGTAATGGAAGAATGACGAGTAAAATATAGCCCTAGGAGATGACAACTTTCAAAATGGTTAAGTACCAAAAACCAGAGCAAATATAAGATTAGCCAGATTTTTCTTTCAATCTGTAAAAATCAAATGTCCTAAGTCCAATGTCAATATTAATTTAATTTTTAGTAATAAATGTCCTGTTCATGTCATTCAAAGAAGCTGATTCTGGCTCATGTGTCAGACATTCTACCATACAAATCTAAATAAAATTCTGGTTGATATACTTCAAAAAAATCCCTATTACTCTGAATGTTTTAGGAGGAGCTAGGACAAGAAAAGAATGCTCACTGAAAATGTGGTTAAGAGAAAGTTTTCATTTGTTCGATATTTACAAACACCTCTTATAACCCAGCATTACTCTGAGGACTCAACATGCAGCTGCCTTTTTTCTTTCAGTTTATTTATACCGATTTTATTCTGAGTCTTCATTTTTATCATCTTTGGAGACAACTGTTATGTAACTTGGGGGACAATTATCCTTTAATTAGTGATAAGTAAATAAATCTGCATCACGTGAAGAAAATTCATCAGCTATGGTATCCATTAAAAAAATAGTTGAACATTGGTTACTTTAAGTTTTCTTTCCAGTTTATGTCCAGTTAAGAGTATTCCTTCTCCTGGCACAGTAGGATGCATGATAGTCTCTAAAATACTTTAAGGATCTAATTTTTCTAATGTTCAGTTTTTATAGATTCTCATATTGCCCACTGTTAAGTGTATGTCTCCCTTGCATAGTTTCATAGATGCATAGGCAAAAACCTGTATTTTGGTTAAAGCCAAAATTAACCAGTTATCTAATACACATAAAGAACTTAGCTGAGTCATTACATAGGTACATTTAAGTTTTTTTTATCCCTGGGCCAGAGGATTTAAAGCCAAGTATACTAGCTTTCTATTGCACTGTAACAAATTATCATACATTTAGTCACCTAAGCAATATACACTTATTATTTTATAGCTCTGGGAGGCAGAATTCCGAAATAGGTCTCACTGGGCTAAAATCAAGGTGTCAGCAGGATTGTGTTCCTTCTGGAGGCTCAAGGGGAGAATTTATTTCCTTGTCCTTTCCAGCTTCTAGACATCACCCACATTCCTTGGCTGTTGGCCCCTTCCTTTATCTTCGAAGCCAGCAATGTTACCTCTCTCTGTGACTTTCCTAGGCAGTCACATCTTCCTCCCAGTGACTCTTCTTCCACCTCCCTCCTTTCAAGAACCCTTGGGATTACATTGGACTCACCTGGATCATCCAGGATAACTCCCCTTTGCCAGGTAACCTAGTATAGTCACAGGTTCTGGGGATTAGAATGTGGACATCTTTGTGTACCCATTATTTTGCTTACCAATGAAGACAGATTTCCATTTCCGTTTACTAACTTGAATTTTCCTGAAGCATTTTGGTTCTCTTACACTTTTTTCAATGCTAGGAAAAGAAACTTTTGAGGAATAACAGTATAAAATTACTGAGAGCAGTAACTTGCATCACAGTTTTCAACCATGAGTTCTCATTCTATTGGGATGACTCTCATACTCAAAGACAAATATGGATATAGCTGGAATGGCCACTGCCATGTAACCATCTGCTCCCGGGGACATGTAGCCTGAGATTTCCGACTTACATTCTGGTAAAGTTATGCCATGGAACATGGAATCGGACTGTGGTCCCCAGGAAAATGTCTAGACTCTGCAATCCAAGTTGACTAGAAAAGGGGCCTTCCTGTTAAAATTTTGAGAAGCCAAACCCTGGTCCTCAATTGCTCTAATGAGCTTAGAATCATTAAAATTGTCCAAGGCACTAAGCAATAATGTTTATTCAGTTTTTTTTAACATAAAAAAATGAAAAGTTAGATGAGTAAATTACAGTAGCCTAATCTTTTCATGCCATTCCTAAGGATTGACGCATTGGTTGTTTTAACAGCTATATAATGCTTAAGCTCTGAAGACTCTAAATCTCTCTTTAAAAAGAAAATACCTTGCATGAGTGTATCTATGAATATATTCTAGACATACTTTCTCATAGGAACACTTGATTAAAGATAATTATTATATTTCAATCAGAAGACACAGGAAGAAATCTGAATGACTGGCAGAAGGCCTTATACAAACTGAATCTAAATATGAAATGAAGTAAAAGTTTCAAACCTGAACCTATGCCTGAATTCTGATAGACAAAAATATTTGTGATGGTTATTATTTAAGATAGGCAAGTCCAATCATCAAATGCTACAACACAAACTGTATGGCAGGTTTAGGAGAGTCACACTGGCTCTACTACATTTTCATGTCACACGAAGGTCATGAGATTATGAGATACAGTCTGTTTCTTGTGAGTCTTGTCTTGCAACACACAGTAAGCAATGCCAATGTGAGAAGCAGTCATCTCATGGATTAACCAACACCTTCAATTTCTATCCCTCTCACCTGCTGACCCTCCTCTGCTCCTCTGCTCACTACGTCTAATGCAGAGTTGCTTCTGAGAAGTGTTCGTAGTTCCTGGTGGGGTCTCCAACAGCACTTTAACTTAACACTACTCCTTGGTGGCACTCAAATGGGCCAGCTCTGAGATCTGACTGAGGAATGGGATACCTGAGTGATATAAAAAGAATTTTGTTCACATAGCCCCTAAAAGAATTCTGAAAATTAGGCACATATTTTTAAATAACATCTAAACATTTTTAACATAAGTTTAAACACTTTAAAAAGAGAGATGATTTCTTCCGCTCTGATACATATTAATCAGAACTCAAGAGCTGCAGATTTCACTCATTAAATCTATGGAAAAATGTTTGCTATACCACGTAATCGGCAGAGCCAATCTTCATTGACAAGCCAATCAATCCAATAAGACTTCCTGTCAAAACAAGTCTGACTTTGTTTTTCAATCAAATATGAAGATGGTCCTGGTGACAATCATCTATCCTCTGAATGCTAAAAGGAATGGATAAATAGAGCATAGAGCCTTCTCATGTGCTCCAGCCTTAGATGAATTGGGAGGAAGAAAAAATAACTGGCAGGTGTCACCCATGCTCACAGGCAGATCAGTTTCAAAAAAAGAGATAGAAGCCAAGGATCTGAAAATTGAAACATTCTATGCCTAGGAAGTCTTGGTGACCTGGGGTGCAAGAACAGTTTGGAGACTGCTGGAAAAAGAACTTAAATTCCTCTCTGCAAGTATCTAACATGATATGAATGTAAGGTGGTATTTCCAAACAAAAACGCTGTGACTGTATTTCTTTCTGTGACTGTACCCTAAGCCTTTGGAACTATCTTAAAACAAGTATCATGTTCTCTTCACCAAAATGGAGGGTCAACAGAGATGATAATCTTGCTTGTGTGGCCAACTTCATGTATAATCTTGGGCTGATAGTTCTGGTGTCCCAGGAACTGGTTCTGTGCTGACTGGAAAATTATGCTTGGCTATCACCCATGGGAACATAGGTTAATACCCAAGAGAATATAACATTCCAACAATAAGTTCTCTGTTTCTGTACCCACACTTGCACACCCGACCTGTGGGTTGACGATTAGTAAGTAAGAGAAAAATAGATCTTTGTGTTCAGACAGAATGAGGAGTGGGGTTTAGAGCTTTAAAATCTCTACATTTCCGGGTTGCTGAATTTGGGGTCTGTGTACCCCTGGCAGACCCAGCTTGCTGAATAAAGAGTGTGTTTCCTATAACTCACTGGTTTCTGGTGGTCCGTGTGTCTATCAGGGGCTGGCGGCTACAACAGTTCTACATTTTTCTGTAGTTCTTAGCAATGGTTGCTTATGTTTGAACCCTCCACCCTTGATGACCTTTTACTGTGTGCTGGCCCCAGTCTAATTCAGTTACCTTTCACCCTGAAGTTCCAAAGTTCTGCCCCACTGTCATTCTTGGGCCTCATGCTCACCTCCAGATTCTCTAGCCTTTTAGTGCCAGAAGTGGCTACATTTACAAAACGAACAAACAACTAAAACCAACAACTAAAAACAAAACAAACAAAAAAACCCTGTAAACTGTCAAGGCTATCCTGTTGTGCCAAAAGAACTGCTTATGCAAACTACTGCAAACATTTTCAAGAGAAAATAAGGAAGAGTGTAGTTACACTCCCCTGATGTTTCTGGGTTAAAGGTTGCAAGGAAATTACTGACAATGGCCAAAAAAACAGATGCCAAAAAGACTTTATTAGGCGTTTTTTCTTCTTTGTGAGGATTTTGGTCCTTTCAGAAGCAGCTCCAAGTAATACGACAGAACCCAGTTTCCACTGTTGTGCAACTTGATCCCACGATGGGTGCTTGGGAAGCACCTTGGGGGCGAATGGTTTCTAAGGCTCCTCATGATCAAGGCTGTCCAATCCATTTGCTAAGTTCTGAATCTTTCCGTGTCACCTCTTAGAAGCAAGTCTGTGTTCCCCTCCAAATAGCCCACCAGCTGGCTACACCCCACCTTCACTCGTGCCCCAGGCACCAGGTAACGCTGGGTGGTGCAGAGGGGCCACTGTGGGGGCAGCCAGGCGTTTCGACGCAATCACTGGGGTGAGGACAGGGGTGAATGCTGGAGGCGCGCGCCCGTGCAGGTGCTCGCGCACCCACAAACACACTCAGGCTTGGGGTGCAGGGCGGGGGAGGGGGGAGAGACGGCCTTACCAGATTAATGAACGTCAGGAATTTCCAGCTTCCTCCGTAGGTCTGATGAGAGGGCATTTCGATGGCCTTGTAGTTGCACAGGATAGAGCAGTAGGACAGCAGAATCGCCACCCGCAGTACCTGGCAAGGAACAAGCGCCATGTTCACCAGAGGCCTGGGCAGGCTGGGCGGCGAGGACAGAGGGAGT